CAATAATAGTAGTAGTATATAAATATTAGTGAAATCAACTTGAACCACTCCCTACCAGTAGGTGGCGGTAATGAACACCTTCCGTTTTTGTCAACCGCCATTAAATCCTAAAAGAAGAAGAATTGGAAGCGACCGAAGAAGAAGAAAAGAAAGCTAAAGAATGAGGATAAAGTATAATGATAATAATAATATTAAATAATAATAATAATAATACTGATAAAAGAAGAAGACTGAACACAGTCAGCTGAATGTAATCGGGTCACGGATGGGGACTTCCGGTGCAGAGAGTGTGACAGGACTGTTGGACAGCTGCTTGTCCAAACTGGGATTTGAAGTGTATCCTCTTAAGGTAAAGAAGCAGGAGTGTTTATTTTACAATAAAAAACAGATCACACGAGATTTTTACCTTTATAAAAACTTGAAACAATCGCTAAAGCTTTAAGCTAAACTCATGACTGATTCCCAAAGTCTGTACATTTTCTCCAGGTCTAGATTATATGAAATAAATGGAAAAAAGCAAATAAAAATCAAGGATGAAGCCCTTTCCACTGTGCTGTTTGTGTATAATTGTATCATTATTTACTGTCGGTGTTGTCTCTTGCCCATCAGGTCGGCTGGTATAACTCGGTGCTCCCTCCTGGTCTACACCTGGCCTACCCAGAGGACACCTTGGCTGTGGTGCTGCTCAGTACTCCTGCCATGTTTGAACGAGCCTTCCTGCCTTTCCTGCAGCAGCATAGCTGGGAGAACCTGTCTGACCCCATAGACCAGTGTGTTAGACACCATGTCACGTCAGGTATCTCACAGGTGAGAGCAAACGTGGGACTGAGTGGTGAAGAACGACACAAGTATAAAAATTAGAAGTGCAGATTGAAACTCCACTGAAGGGCCATGTGTTTATCTCTGTGCACATCAGTTTTTAACAAACATAAAGTGAAACTAAATGCTGTATCAGTGCTTGTGGATGCATCATTCAAAGAAAACCTCCTGCTTTTTTTGTTAAACCTTCAGTATTCATAGTGAACAAAGCGTCTCACACCAAAGCAGTGGACCTGTCTTCCTGTAGGGATGTGGATAAATGTTTAATCCTACACTAATATTAAATCTGACAGCAGATTACAAAAGAACATTTCAAACCTGATAAAATAACACCTAAATCGTGATTATCTGAAGTCTGAGGGAAGTTATGTTTGTTCAGGTGAYWTCAGCTCATGTTTTCTTGCTGCAGTTCACAGCAGAACCAATGGGARCATTTCACCTTGTTTTCTATTTTTGTTCATAACTTTAGTGTTTAAGATATCGCCATGAAATTTTAGGAAAAGATTCACATTCTGTTTTTTGTAGAAAGCATCTTGTATCCTAAAAACTAATAAAACTTAATAATATCTAATTTAAAATTAGCAGAAAAGGTATAAAATAACGTTACAAGGCAAACTGTAGCATCAAATCAACTTAATGTGTCATAGGCTGTGTCCAAAACGACAGGCCGGGTCCTCCGGAGGACCCAGACTCCCCGGTCTTGGCGGGCCGGGTCCTTGGTGGACCGGGAAGACCGGAAAAAAAGAGGCTGTGAATTTGGACGGTCTAGCCTCCCCTCCTTACCC